ACGTGGTCCTGCAAGGGGCACCTGCAGTGTCCCCAACTCGCTGCCACCAGGAGCTGCACGCTCGCTGGGCACAGCTCAGGGTGAAGGGCACAGCTCAGGGTGAAGGGCACAGCTCAGGGACACAGGGCACAGCTCAGGGACACAGGGCACAGCTCAGGGTGCAGGGCACAGCTCAGGGGGAAGGGCACAGCTCAGGGTGCAGGGCACAGCTCAGGGGGAAGGGCACAGCTCAGGGACACAGGGCACAGCTCAGGGACACAGGGCACAGCTCAGGGTGCAGTGCACAGCTCAGGGATGAAGGGCACAGCTCAGAGATACAGGGCATAGATCAGGGATGCAGGGCACAGCTCAGGGTGAAGGGCACAGCTCAGGGACACAGGGCACAGATCAGGGTGCAGGGCACAGCTCAGGGTGCAGGGCACAGCTCAGGGATGAAGGGCACAGCTCAGAGATACAGGGCACAGCTCAGGGTGAGGGGCACAGCTCAGGGTGAAGGGCACAGCTCAGGGTGAAGGGCACAGCTCAGGATGAAGGGCACAGCTCAGGGTGCAGGGCACAGCTCAGGGTGAAGGGCACAGCTCAGGGACACAGGGCACAGCTCAGGGTGAAGGGCACAGCTCAGGGACACAGGGCACAGCTCAGGGACACAGGGCACAGCTCAGGGTGCAGGGCACAGCTCAGGGTGAAGGGCACAGCTCAGGGACACAGGGCACAGCTCAGGGTGAAGGGCACAGCTCAGGGTGAAGGGCACAGCTCAGGGCGCAGGGCACAGCTCAGGGTGAAGGGCACAGCTCAGGGACACAGGGCACAGCTCAGGGTGAAGGGCACAGCTCAGGGTGAAGGGCACAGCTCAGGGTGAAGGGCACAGCTCAGGGTGCAGGGCACAGCTCAGGGTGCAGGGCACAGCTCAGGGACACAGGGCACAGCTCAGGGTGAAGGGCACAGCTCAGGGTGAAGGGCACAGCTCAGGGTGAAGGGCACAGCTCGGGGTGATGGGCACAGCTCAGGGTGCAGGGCACAGCTCAGGGTGAAGGGCACAGCTCAGGGTGAAGGGCACAGTTTAGGGACACAGGGCACAGCTCAGGGTGAAGGGCACAGCTCAGGGACACAGGGCACAGCTCAGGGCACAGCTCAGGGACACAGGGCACAGCTCAGGGTGAAGGGCACAGCTCAGGGTGAAGGGCACAGCTCAGGGTGCAGGGCACAGCTCAGGGACACAGGGCACAGCTCAGGGTGAAGGGCACAGCTCAGGGTGCAGGGCACAGCTCAGGGTGAAGGGCACAGCTCAGGGACGCAGGGCACAGCTCAGGGACACAGGGCACAGCTCAGGGACACAGGGCACAGCTCAGGGACACAGGGCACAGCTCAGGGTGAAGGGCACAGCTCAGGGACACAGGGCACAGCTCAGGGTGACGGGCACAGCTCAGGGTGAAGGGCACAGCTCAGGGTGAAGGGCACAGATCAGGGTGAAGGGCACAGATCAGGGTGAAGGGCACAGCTCAGGGACACAGGGCACAGCTCAGGGTGCAGGGCACAGCTCAGGGATGAAGGGCACAGCTCAGGGACACAGGGCACAGCTCAGGGTGAAGGGCACAGCTCAGGGTGCAGGGCACAGCTCAGGGATGAAGGGCACAGCTCAGGGTGAAGGGCACAGCTCAGGGTGAAGGGCACAGCTCAGGGACACAGGGCACAGCTCAGGGTGAAGGGCACAGCTCAGGGTGAAGGGCACAGCTCAGGGTGCAGGGCACAGCTCAGGGTGAAGGGCACAGCTCAGGGACGCAGGGCACAGCTCAGGGTGCAGGGCACAGCTCAGGGACACAGGGCACAGCTCAGGGACACAGGACACAGCTCAGGGTGAAGGGCACAGCTCAGGGTGAAGGGCACAGCTCAGGGTGAAGGGCACAGCTCAGGGACACAGGGCACAGCTCAGGGTGAAGGGCACAGCTCAGGGTGAAGGGCACAGCTCAGGGTGAAGGGCACAGCTCAGGGTGAAGGGCACAGCTCAGGGTGTAGGGCACAGCTCAGGGTGAAGGGCACAGCTCAGGGTGAAGGGCACAGCTCAGGGTGAAGGGCACAGCTCAGGGACACAGGGCACAGCTCAGGGTGAAGGGCACAGCTCAGGGTGCAGGGCACAGCTCAGGGTGCAGGGCACAGCTCAGGGTGAAGGGCACAGCTCAGGGACACAGGGCACAGCTCAGGGTGCAGGGCACAGCTCAGGGACGCAGGGCACAGCTCAGGGACACAGGGCACAGCTCAGGGTGAAGGGCACAGCTCAGGGACACAGGGCACAGCTCAGGGTGCAGGGCACAGCTCAGGGTGAAGGGCACAGCTCAGGGTGAAGGGCACAGCTCAGGGATGAAGGGCACAGCTCAGGGTGAAGGGCACAGCTCAGGGACACAGGGCACAGCTCAGGGTGAAGGGCACAGCTCAGGGTGAAGGGCAGAGCTCAGGGTGCAGGGCACAGCTCAGGGTGAAGGGCACGGGGATGCTCTTTGGCCAAAGGCCTCGGTTCCAGGACACCCCCTTTGGAAGCAGAAACCCCTTTGCTCTCCTGAACTGAGCTGAGACGTCCCGGGGTGAGTGTTCCAGCCTCGCCCTCCACCACGGCACAGGCTTGGCTGGGCCAGGGTGGGAATGGGGGGCCCTGAGGAGCAGGAGGGGTACAAAACCAGGGAAACAGAGATACCAATGTAGAGACCCACGACAGGAGTGCCCTTGGCCCGGAGCTGGGCTGCAGATGGACACACAAGGTTTGGCAGAAGGTCATGAGGAGCCTGCACCATCCTCCCAAGCAGAGCCCCCCTCCCTGTGGGAGTCCTCCAGGCCAAGGCACAGCCATGCTGGCTCCCCAAAGGGCTCAACTGTCCTGGAAATCAAAGTACAGTGCACCAGGTGCCCCGACACCTGCCCCAAGGGCAGCGAGAGGCAGTTGTGCTGCGGGACACTGGCAGCACCCACCCCCAAATCCTCCTGCCTGCACCCAGCTGATGGGCAGCTGCTGGTATGGGCTGCCCCTCTGCAAAGGGAAACAGCTCAGAGATGCTGGCTGGAGAGACTGGGGAGCGTGGGAGGAAGGGAAACACTCCTTCAGGCTGGAGAGGCTGAAGTAAGAGCAGGTGTCACAAGCTCAGGTGTCACAACAGGGCAGGCTGGGCAGCAGCAAGGTGGGACAGAGCTTCTCCTTTCAGGGGGCTGGGGGATGAAGGATGTTGGCAGAGCCCTACCAGCATCGAGCAGAAGGCACAGGAGGATGAAGGGTGCATGGAGGAGCTGCAGGATCCGGCTCTGCCCCTCCATGGGTGTTCCTACAGTCTCATCTGCCCCCTCCCAGCTCCAGAGCACAGGTGTCAAAATGCTTTTGGAGCTGCCAGGAATGAAGCTGGACCCTGAAGGCAGCAGGAAGCAGGAATCACGGACAAGAGCAGAGAGAAGGGGCTGGGCTGGGATCTGCAGAGCCCCGGGAGAGGGGACAGGGATAAGATTTGCATAGGTTTTTAACAGGGCAAAGACCTTGTGCAAGCTCAGGGTACAGAAAACAGGCCTTGCTATTGCTGGTGTGGGCAGGAATGGGGGAGCCCAGTGGCCAGGGGTCAGCCAGCACTGCAGGCAGGGGCTGAAGGCTTTGCTTCACCTCCCAGAGCCCAGGGATGGAACTGGAGCTGGCCCAGGCTCCCCACTACAGCACAGCACGGCCTGCAAGAGGTTCCAGTGGCCACCAAGTTGGCAGTAAAGCTCGAGGGGTGCAGGGCACTGGGGGTTTCCAAAGCCCCCACAACTGGAACCACCCAGCAAGGGCCCAAAGGCTCTGCTGGCTTCAGTGGGGACACTGGTGAGACACAAAGGAGCTAGGAGGGCAGTTTTGTGAAAGCAGGGGAGCAGAAGCTGTGGCTGGGAGTAGATCTGAGGGGGTCACGGGCAGGAGGGACTGGCACACAACTGGAATTCTGCTCCCTGGGGCTGTCAGCAGGAACAGCCACGCTGCCACAACTGCCTGAGCACCAACCCACGGGAGGCTGCAGCTGGGCTGGGGACACAGGAAATGTCCCATGGCAGTGTCCCAGTGCTGCTGCTTCGCTGCTGCAGCCTGGGGACAGACAACAAGAAGCTGCACAGAAGGAAAGGCAGCCCCCCATCTGATGAAGGAAGCTTTGGGGGGGCTCTGTGGCCCCCAAAGAGGATGGCATGTGTCCCCAGGAGCAGCCATGCAAGCAAAGGCCGAGAGAGGAAGGAGAAAATGGAATAAATGGCACTGTACAGCACGTCAGTGACACCTCTCCTGGCAGCACCACTGCTGTGAGGGACACACAGACAGGCAGAGGAGCAGGTCTGGGGATCTGTAAGATCCCAAGTGGAATGGAGCAGAGCTGTGGGCTGGGCAGGGTTCAGACCTGACCTAGAGACAAGACTTTCATTGCTAAAGGGGGACATTTCAGGGCTGGCTGGTGGTATTTTGGGGACAGAACCTGGCAGTGGTTGTTTTTAGAAAAGCCACTTTCCCTGGCAGGTTACAGGCACCTTGTTCACACTGAGCCAAACACGCTGGCAAGACAAAGGAATTTTTCCTTGCTGCTTTTCCCAATTGTTTCCAGAGCACCTGGAAAGCAGAGATGCCACTGAAGCCACACTGGACTGGCACACAAAGCTGTCACCCTGTGCCATCGAGGCAGCTCCAGGGACAGCACTGCCACCCCCTACATTGTCCTTTTGAGATGATCTCTCCAAACCCTCCAAACCCCTCAAGGATCTTCACCCAAGCCTTGCTATGGATGGAAGTTGGCTGGACTTGCTGTCAAAGTAACATCTTAAATCATCTAAATGCATCTGAAAAGCCCCATTTTTGTTGCAATGTGTGGGGTTTAAGGAATGGTGATAAAGGCTCTGGCTCATCAGGATTCATCCTTAGCCTGCAGAACTAGGAGAGGATAAAGAAATTCAGCATATTTGTGAACAACTCACAAATCTTCTCAGGTTTCCAATTTTGTTGAATTTATGGATTTTTCTTGACTAGCCCCTTTAAGTCCAGTTGTCCATTACTGCCACCTCCAATTATTGGGGCAAAATCAAAGGGTTTGTGAACCACTTTAAAATATTTTTTGTCGGGTTTCAAGCTTTCCAGAGCTGGGACACTGCTCCATCCCTCCTGCCCTGGGACAGGGGCACTGAGCCAGCCAAAATCCCTGAGCAGTGGGTACTTTGCAGCCCCAGACTCTCACCAACAGAGCAGGAACTCTCATGGATGAGACAAAAAGCAGATGATGAGGCCTCCAATTTTAACTCCAGAGCACAAATGGGAGTCAAGGCTGTCACACATGGAGGAAAACCTCGTCCATCTCCCTGTCCACTGCCTCAGCACCCAGAATAGCCCCAGGGATGGAAGTGGCAAACCCTGACGAGCTGATTAGACTAAAATGTGTCTGTTGACACAGGCAAGAAGCACCTGTGGAACCACTGAGTTTCCTGCCCTTTCCAGGGACAGAGCTGGGGCTGCTGAGCTCTCACCATGCAGAAGGAATGGTGGGAGCAGCAAGCTGGGGAAAGGCAGGAGCACCCAAAAGCTCCAGAGTGATGGTTGGATGATGGGGAGCCCCAGGGCAGGGCCAGGGGCAGCAGGGGCAGTCCCATCCTGCCCTGGCACTCGGAGTGGCTCAGCCTGGAGCTGCCACAGGGGCCAAGGCCACAGTGCCCACGTGGAGAAAAGCACTGCCCTGAGCACTTCCAGCAGGGTTTGCCAGAGCACAAAGCACGTGGAGGAGCACCAGGTTATGCCAAGAGCCTGGGGTGGCTGGGAAGTGCCACAGGACCTAATCCTGTTTGCCAGCCCCTCCCTTTCCCGGTGCCAAAGCAACACAGCTTCCCCAGGAGCGCAGGCTGGAGCAGCACAGGGAGAGATGGAGCCTGCAGGGGAGAGGGGAGCTCCCCACATTCCCCCAGACCTGTAGCCATGTCTCGTGCACCATCCTGCCTGACTGGGCTCTGCAGAACTGGGAAGAACCAGGCACAAAATATTTCACAAGGGGAAGGAGAGGGAAAAAACAAGAGCAAATTCCTGGTGGATGTTTTTCCATGGCCATCTCCAGACCGGCTGCTGCAGCTCAGCACTGCCCAGTACCTCTTTGTTTGCTCCACACCTCCAGGGCACCCAGAGGGGCTGCCAGGGATCCTCCTCCTGCTGGGCACACCAGAGTGGTCTGGAGTGACTGGAAATCCCTTGGAGTGAAGGGACAGTTGGCCCAGTTTGCGTGCTGGACGCACGGACAGGAGCTCCTGCTGCCCGTGCCAAGAGAGGAGCCCACGTGCAGGTGACGGTGACCACTCACATCCCACAGCGCAGTGCTGAGCTCAGTCTGCCTCCAAGGATGCCTGGGAGATGTGACAGCAGGTGACAGCGGGGTGTGAAGCCACCCCTCTCCCCGAGCCAGCATTTTGCATTTCCAACAGTGCACGAAGGGATCCTGCTGCTGCTCGTGGCTCCTCTCCTGCTGCTGCCTGGTTTCCTCACCCCACTGCTGCTCCGTGCTGTGCTCCAGCTTTGTTCACTTGGTCTTTGTTCAGCGCTGCTCCTGGAAGTGCTGCTCTGGCAGCTCCAGCCTGTTCTGCTTCCCTCGTGCATCCCCTGCTGCTCTGCTCACCTGGAAGCGCCTCAGTCCCTTCTTCTCTCTCCCAGCAGCTCGTCCTCCCCACAGGACGTGGGCTGCTCCTGTCCCCCGTGGGGCCTCGGGAACCAGAGCAAACCTCGCCGAGCACCTCAGTCACTGCCCAGGGCAGCGGGAGCGCTGCTGCCACGAGCTCTGCTGTTTGACTTCCTTTTCCCAAATGTGGCCGAAGAAAAGATGGTGAATTCAGCACATGAGTTTGTTTTTTGTCATGGAAGGTACAAGCCAGGCAAGGAAGAACATTCCCTCACTGTGGCTACATTCGCTTTTAGTGGCTTTCTGAGCCGAATCTGAGAATTCCTCTCTTTATATCCAGTCTCTCTTAATACAATTTTAATATTCTGGTTGATCCTAAAGATGCAACATTAACTATAGAAACAGCAGCAGAAAAGCGGAGGGTACAAGACATGTTTTTATACAAAAAAAAATTTTTTTGTTGCTTACAAAACATATGCAAAAGAAGCTAAAAAAACCAAAAGGCATTGCTATTTGTTCTACATAAAAAATCTCATAACTAATGTTCTTTTTTTTTAAAAAAGAAATATCAAGCTTAGGCACAATTTTGCTGCTGGCTGCTTGTGAACAAGCCAAGAGAACACGCCACCCCCTCCTAACTGAGTGATATGTATTGACTGTTCTGCACTTTATACTTAAGGCAATTTTTTGTTTCTGTTTTGTTTCTGACAAAGTGTTTTTTCCACCCCTTACGTCACGCCAGGATCCATCTGCGTGTGTCAGTATGAGCAGTACTACAGTTCATGGTTCAACAGGGTTGCAGGTCACACCGAGGGTTTTCTTCCTACAAATCTCCGTATCCAGAGGAACAAAAAGATCTACAAATAAAATAAAATAAAAATAATAAAAAAGAAAAGTCTGAAGGAATTGCTGGTTTCCAGCAGCCAGCTAGGGCAAAACTGGGAGGTGCAGAGCAGAGCTGAGCCCACCCAGAGAGCTCCAACCCCATCCCAGCTCCGGGGCTGCCACTCTCCTGTGGGCCAGAGGCTTTGGGTGTCCATGGGGTGCGTGACACACAGAGAGAATCAGGGAATGGGTTGGGCTGGAAGAGACCTTTCATCTTATTCCACCCCGTGCCTTGTCAGGGACACTTTCCACTATCCCAGGGTGCTCCAAGCCCCTCCAAACTGGCCTTGGTCACTTCAGGGATGGGGTAGCCACACCTGTGCCAGGCCTTGCACACATTCAAGTCACTGATTTCAGGGAAATGAAGCAGGGCCGTGGCTGCTGCTGAGGGAGTGGGGCTGACCAGCCAGGGCAGAGCAGGGCATGGGCACAGGGCTGAACCACGCTGGCATGTGGGATCAAAGGTGGGGACCAGTACCTTTACATGTGTCCAACAGGGTTGTGACCGTCTCCTAGACCAGGATGTGAAGCTGACAGTGTCATCTGGGGGTCTCCAACCACTCCGGACACTTTCTCCTCTTCCCGACGCTTCAAGCAGGCCGCTTTTGGGTTCAGATTGCGCTCTGTGCCCAAAACGCAAGGGAGGGGAGCAACCTCAGTCTGGGCAACAGCATCACCCCTGGCAGCAGCACCCCAGAGGGACAGGGGGACACCCCAGGCAGGCCTGTGTGAGGCATGAGCTCCGTGCAGCGCTTGCTGCTGCTGCAGTCCCTGCAGGATCCTGCCAGGCCCCTGCTGGGGCAGAACCCAGGCCCAGCTGCACCCCACTTCAACATGGAGTCATGGAATGGTTTGGGTTGGAAGGAATATTAAAGTCCATCTTGTTCCAATCCCTGCCATGGCAGGGACACCTTCCACTATCCCAGAGTGCTCCAAGCCCTGGCCAACCTGGCTTTGGACACTTCCAGGGATCCAGAGGCAGCCACAGCTGCCCTGGCCAACCTGTGCTAGGGCATCTCCATGTGCTTGTTACAGGAACCCCCAAGTGCCTCAGCCAGCACTCGGAGTTGAGGATTGAATTTTCCAAAGCTGCATAATGGGATCCAGGTGCCAAATTACATTTAAGCATGACCAGAGAGAGAGAGGGGCCTCAAATCCACCCCGGCCCAGGGCTGGGGAGAGCTCAGCAGGCAGAGGTGCTGCTGGCGCTGCAAACACACAGCTCAGACCGAAAGCAGGAGTCAGGACAGAGAAGCACGAGCATGCAGAGACAGGGGGAGAGACAGCCCCGAAATGCACCTGCCAGCGGTACCATACCTCGTACTTGCTGCTCCAGGCCCAGAATGACCTGCACCGCTTGCTGTAGGATGATCAGTTTGGTCTGTGCTTTGTCCGTTTTTAAGTGCATCTGGCACATGCGTCCCAGCTCTTTAAAGGCCTCGTTAATGTCCCGCACGCGCACCCTCTCCCTGGCGTTATTGGCCATTCTCCTCTCCCGGTCCCTCAGATCTTTGTCCTCCAGTGACAAGGCCTCGTCTGTACTGCTGGGTTCACAGCACCACAGGGGTTAGTCAGGGGGTGCCACCGAGGGAGGGGGGCTCTATGTTGCCGTGCTGGAAGTGCTCCGGGTGTCCACTGGAAATGGCCCAAACGGCCTCACTTTGCAAAGCCAATTCCTCTGGGTGCTTCCCACAGCAGCCCAGGCTGTGTCACCACTGTGAGCCCAGGGAAGGTGCTGCCAGCACAGGGCCAGGTGCCCAGGGGGCTGAAGGGGGCAAGGGTGGGCATTGATGCAGCATCACCCACCAACACCTCCTGCCCTCTGCAAAATTTTGCCTTCCTGTTTGTTTTCAACTGAAAACTCAAAGACTGGGGGAGGCTCTCTGCCAAAAACATCAGGTTTGTCCCCCGTGGAAAAATTTTGGCAGGAAGTAAATCCTTCTTTGTATGATTTCCTTCCCAAATTCCATCTGCAGCTTCCAATGCTGGTGTTTGGAGCAGTGGTGCTGCAGCAGCAGGAGCAGCCTGGCCTGGCACCCTCTTAGGGACCAGGGCAGCTTTGGAGCAGGAGCCAGGCCTGCAGACTCGGATGCACTCACTGAATCCCGATCATTCCACACAGCCAAAAGCCTGCCAGGAGGGCTGATTTTTTTCCCAGGCACAGTCAGAAGCTCTGGGAGAGCCCCCACTGCTGACAGCACCCCAGGGTGCCCGACACAGGCAGGGATGGGGGAAGCAAAGTTGTGCTGGCAGCATCTTGAACCGAGGCCTTGCCCACCCCCTCGAAAGCCCCAATTTAAGCCCAGACGACCTTCTCCCCCAGAGCAAAACTTCTTGCAGGAAGACTTCTATCTGAGGAGGGTCCTTGGGAGAGTCCTGACACTGGGACAGCCTGTGGCCTCGGGCTCCTGTCCCTGTGGGGACAAGGCTTTAGCAAAGAGGGGCCGCAGAGTCAGAGCCCTCCTGGACGGTGCATGGCCACGTGAGGGGGAGCAGGGGCTCCCCAGGCAGGCACTGCCTGTGTGGGACAGAGGGCTGCCCACTGGCCCTGCTGTGCCCTCTCCTCGCTGCCTTGTTCCTGCCTGTGTCCCCTCCTTGCTGCCCCAGCTGGCACTGCCACCTCCTCTCCACACGCCCAGCACAGGCCGGGGGACGGGGACACCCGTGTCCCCATGCAGGACCCCAGATCCTTCCTCCAGCCCCGGCTGGTGGCTGCAGGTCCCTGCTGGTGGCTCTCCCAGTAGGGACAAGGCTTGGATGTCACACCTGGGCAGGACAGAGCTGTGTCCCCACCAGCAGCACGTACCACTGGCAGCTTGCACTGTGTGAGGATGGCACGCTTAGGCTGCCTTGTGTCCCTGGGGGTCACCAGCAGAGGTGACCCTTGGGGGTCTCCTCCTTTCCCTTCCTGCTGTGGCAGCGGGAGGATCCTGGCAGCCCCCCTGGGCACACAGGGACCTGATGGCAGTGCTGCCAGAAGAGGTGTGAGGGTGGGATTCTCTCCTGGAAAGCAGCACAAACCCAAGGAGGGGACACTGCCTGTCTGCACTATTTGCTGAGGGAGCCTGCAGGGCTCAGCCACCTCTCTGGCTGCCTCCAGGAAGGGTTTAAAAAGGGACAAGCATGGGAGACCAAAACCAACATGGTGCCAACTCTGCCTAAGCCCTGCCCCACCCTCGGTCCTGCCTGGGATCCGTGAGCAGCAAGTACAAGGTAGAGTGGGACCACCGAGAGGTCACGGCTGGGGCATGTCTGTAGGAGATTGGAAAGAACAGAACCAAAAAGTAAAAACTTGAAATAAAAAAAAAAAAATCAAAAGGAAGGGGAAATTAAAAAAGAAGACAGGAAAAAATATACATTTTATGAAAGGCAAAAAATTACAAACTGAAGAGAGGCACAAAGGACTCCAACATCAAGGCACAGCAAGGCCAGCAGAGAGGAGCACAGGCAGGCACAGCCCCCGACGCGTGTTACACAGCTCTGCAGAGAGAAAGGGGTTAACCTGCCCCGGGGCAGAAGCATGCACTGCGGGATGCGGGACAAAGCAGCCACCCTCCTTTCCTTCCCTCCCTGCCGTGGGGGCACACACACACGTGTGGAGGGCAGCTCCAGGCTCAGAACGCACAGTGCTCCAAGCCTGGGTGGGACAGCAGTGCAGGCAGCGAGGCTGGGGCATCCTGCTGCCCTCACACAGCTCCCGTGGTGCCAGGGCTTTGCCAGGTGCCACACTGCGGGGACAGGAGCACAGAGCCCCATCAGGCACGCCGAGGGGAAAGGAGAGGGCTCTGTGCTCAGAGCAGCCCATGGAGACTGCAGAGCTGCGCCCCTCTGGGACATTCTCTAGTGGGGTTTCTGTCACTTCGCTGGCCAAGCACTGAGCACGGGATGGCACAGGCGTCCCCGCGGGGACCGGCATGCAGCACACACGGTGGCAGCGGGGGACAAAGGAGAGAACAGCAGGGATGGATGCAAAAAAGGCAAAAAAATAAAATAAAATAAAAAGGACATCGATAGCCTTGGGTTGTTCCCCAAGGCTACAGGGGAGAGAGACAGTGCGAGGCACCACAGCACGTCACAGGAGACAGACAGACAGACAGCCCCGTGCCGATCAGGTACGTAAAATATCACCACTCCGGGACCCTCACTGACCTCTAACTTGTTGCTCCAGGTTCAGTATGACTGATACGGCCTGGTGTAGGATTAGCAGTTTGGTCTGCGGTTTTTCGCTGTTTAGGTGCAGTTGGCACATGCGTCCGAGCTCCTTAAAGGCCTCGTTGATGTCACGAACCCGCAGGCGCTCACGGGCATTATTGGCGACCCTCCTTTCTCTCTCTCTCTCGGCTTTTTGCTCTGGGGGAAGAAGATCGTCCTCCTCATCCTCATCTTGACTAATGGTTTAAAATAAGAACGAGACAGGGACATTCCTCGTGTGCACTCTCAGCACTGGTCAACTCACAGACAAGAAACACACGGTGACGCACCAAGATGCCGAGCCCCCCGTGTGCCCTGCCAGGACCTGCTGTGCCAGGTCCTGTGCCAGGTCCACGTGCAGGGACACGCAGGGGCTTCGGAGAGAAGCAGTTAAGGCTCTTCTTCTGCCTCTCTTTTGTTTTCTTTTGTTTATAAACAGCAAAGAAAGAAACCACAATGTGATTAAGGCCTGAGCTTGTTGCCAGGAGAGTGCAGGGCGGCCCAGACAAGGTGAAGGACAACAGTGGTACTCCCAGTTGGAATTTGGGAAGATGCAGCCCTCTGCCTCCAGGCCAGGAGTGGGGCTGGTGCTGCCTCTCTGGGCACCATCACCCTGCTGAGGTCTCTGAGCTGGTGGCAAGGCTGCAGAGCAGCCAACACACTGAAGGACTCCACCTGAGCCACTGACTCCTCTGGCTGGATGTGCAGAGATGCCCCAAGGCAGGGAAGGAGTCAAACCGTGTCTGACTGGGGTTGAGCACTTGCTCCTTCCCTGCACGGCCCCAAGTGCCCACAGAGGCAGGTGGGGGATGAGATGCATCCCTCTGCTTTAGGAGCATGAGGTTGCCCTGAGGCCACAGGGACAGAAGCCAGCAGGAGGGTGGCAGGGACCTTCTCCCTGGGGCAGTAGCAGGAGCCCAGGCTGTGTGAGACCACACCAGGCTTCAGGGTGGGCAAGGGCTGGGGGGGTCTGTGCCCCAGATGACCCCAGGCCAAACCAGGCCAAGCCCAGTGCCTGGTGGGTCCTGGCAGCTGGACCCCAGCCCAAACACCCCTGGCCTGGGAACAGAGAAAGTGAAGGGAGAGACCTGTTCAAAGAGCACCTTGTTCTGTTCCGGGAGGGTTTCAGCTCCTTCTTCTCCTCTTCTGAGTTATCGGCCACAGATGTGTTCTCCTCATCCTCCTTCTCTTCCCTCTTTATTTCGCTCGTTCCTGAGGAGACACTGCTCCGGCCCAGCCCTCCGGACAAGCCTGCAGAGAGAGCAGAGCTTGAGGGGCCTGACCCACAGAGGAGGCTGGGGGGTCCCCAGGCTCTGCTCCTGCAGTGGCATCCCAATCTCATCCTGCATTGCTGCTCCACAGATGTGAGGGTGCTGCCTCTGCCCTGCCGACGCTCCCCGCTCTCCCTCTTACTTCCCTTACTTCCAATTTGGGAACCAACCTACTCAGCAGAGCACTGAGAACTGTGCACCCACACCTGGCAGGGGGAACAGGAAAATACAGTCAAGCATGTAGGGTTAGATGGGAGATTGGGCAGGAATTGTTCCCTGGCAGGGTGGGCAGGCCCTGGCACAGGGTGCCCACCCTGGATCCCTGGCAGTGCCCAAGGCCAGGCTGGACAGGGCTTGGAGCAACTTGGGACAGTGGGAGGTGTCCCTGCCATGGCAGGGGGTGGAAGGGAATGGGATTTAAGGTCCCTTACAAGCCAGACCATTCTGGGACTCTGTGAAAGGCCCCAAGTAGAAACTGCCCTGTGAATGCTGCAAGGAAACACCAGCCTTGTGGGACACCCACCTCTTCCCAGGCTGCACAGGCCTGGACCCAAGCCCCACAGGTGCCTCCCCACACCCCCCTTAGCACAGGTGAACCCTGTGAACAGGTGAGCCCCAAAAGCAGAGCTGCCTTACCACTGTACGTGTCCTGCTGCCTGCTGAGGTCCGGGAGTGAGCTGGGCTGTGAGGGAAGTGTGACATGGTTGTGGAGCAAGCTGGGGTTGCTGGACAACCCATCTTCAGGGTGGCCTCCTCCCACCTGCAGCACAAGGAGCAGAGTGAGCCTCAGGGAGGGATGTGTCATGGCCAGCAGGCAGTGGGGACATCACCTGAGCAGTCACCCAAGGACAACCCCGGGCTCAGGGACCGGGCTGAGGCACAGCCGTGTGCTCCCCTCACCCTCGCAGCCCTGGAGCTCCGGAATGCAGGAGGGAAGAGCCAGCCTGCTCCTGCACCAGCTCTCTGGGACCGTGCTGGGACCCTGCTGCTCCTGTCACTGCTGTCCCCCACCCCGAGGAAAAGCCCCTCTGTGTGGCCAGCACAGCAGAGAGGACACGTGTCCCGTGTCCACTGAACACCACTGTGACTGCAAGGGACACCCCAGCAATGTGAACTTGGCTCCAAAGGGGCTGGAGGCAAAGGGTGAGGGGCCCTTCTGAGCCCAGGGCCCCGAGGATGTGCCACACAGGCTGGACTGACAGGCAGAGCCAGCCCTGCTGGCTCCCCAGCTGGCAGCAGCTACAGAGCACACGTCCCATTCCCCGCTCAGGGAGCCTGGAAAGGGATCACAACTGGTTCTCTGGAGACTGCAGAGGTGTCATGGCTGCAGCAGGCAAGCAGCTCCGCCAAAAATGTGCTGCTGTGGTCACCAACCTCTAGAAAAGGGGGGACCCAGGTGACCCTGCATGGCACCCCAGCATCCATGTGCCCAGGGCACCTGGATCCATCACATTCCCTGCAGCTGGAATGAGCCCTCACACACCAGCACTCCCCACGTGCACAGAGGGACGTGGTGCCTGCCCAAACCATTCAGAGTTCCTGGTGACACCTGGCACTCCTGTATCCACTGGATCCCTCTTCTCTTCCCTGTATATTCCAGGGATGCCTTGAAGTTGTTTTGAGGGATTTTAAATCATGTTGCAGGGAAAGAAGAGCAGCTCTCTCACCACCTCTGCCTGCCCTGAGAAGGGGCACAAGGGAAGGGCACACAGAGCTGGTGCCAAAGCTGCACTCAATGCTCCCAGAGCAGCTGTGGCTGCCCCTGGATCCCTGGCAGTGCCCAAGGCCAGGCTGGACAGGGCTTGGAGCAGCCTGGCACAGTGAAAGGTGTCCCTGCCATGGCAGGAGGTGGAACAAGATGAGCTTTGAGGTCCCTCCAACCCAAACCACTCTGGGATTCTATGACTCAGCTCTCCCTTGCAGGAACATGGGAAGTGACTTGTGTGCCCATGCAACGCTGCCAGCACCTGACCCAAGCTGGACCACACTGAGCTGCTCCCTCTGAATGCCATGTCACACCACAGGTGACACGTGTCCCCAGCGTGTCCCTGCCAGCTGCCACACCGCTCCCACACTCACCAGACTCGGGTGCCTGTTCCCCAGGGCCATGACTGAGGCGGGGAAGGCCTGGCCCAGGCTGCCCACGGCAGCACTGTGTGCTGGTGCTGAGCCCAGCAGCCCGTGCATGTCCCCGTGGTTGCTGGGCATGGCAGAGGTCTGGCCCACGGCGTGGTTCCTCAGCACGTGGATGGCTTCATCCAACCTGTCTTCCATTTTGTTTTGCTGGAAGGGCAGGACAAAGACAGGTCTGTGTTAAGTGCCCTGTCCCTGGAGGTGTCCAAGGCTGGATGGGGCTTGGAGCACCCTGGTCTAGCAGAAGGTGTCTCTGCCTATGGCTTTATGATCCCTCCCAACCCAAACCTTTCCATGATTCCAGTCCAGTTCCAGGACTGCAATCCCATGAAGCCAGCAGCCCCCTGCTGCTCTGCACTACAGAATGGCTGGTGGCAATCCTGGGCTCAGGAGACACAGGGCAGGGACGGGGAGAAATTAAATAACATTCCCAGCCAGTGGCATTCCCCAAAGGCACAAAGGGTCACGAGTGGAAGTGCTCAGGGCAGGGAGGCAGAAACCTGCCAGGAATGCCTTGGGCTGGGCCAGAGCCCCGGGATGGGCTGGGCTGGGGCAGGGATGCAGCACTGGGCTCTGCACAGCTGCTGCTACCCAAATATCCACCCCTGGCCAACAGCTGAGTCTGATTCCAGCATTCAGGGGAGAGGCTGCCACCCAAAAACCCTCCACCGCCAGGCGCCGAGGGACGAGAGACAAAAGGAGAACCCCGAATTTTGGTGCCACTCACCAAAGTGTGGAGACTCCCTTCGTAACTGGGAGATAAGGCACCCGCTCCGCCCGCCCGCGGCCACTGCGACGAGCCTGGGGACAAACCAAGCAGAGCTGGGGACCGGCCATGGCCACGGCTGCCGCTAGATGGGGCTGGAAGCCGGGACACCGCGGCGGGGCCGGCACCGGCAGCACCGGCGGCACCGGGACACCGGGCACACCGGGCACCGCGGCGGGACACCGGGCACACCGGGCACCGCGGCGGGACCGGCACCGGGCACACCGGGCACACCGGGCACCGCGGCAGGACCTGTCCTGCCTGAGGGGACGAGGAACGGGCTTTCAGCAGTTGCTGAACATGGGTTTCAACCACTTGGCTGCTTCCCAGTTCCCACTGCACTTCTCCCATGGGAGGCAAATCCAGCCACAGCCTCTCTGAGATGGGACATGCAGGGACAGGGTCAGGAAGGAGAAGGAGAAGGTTGCTGCCAGCTCTGGGCTGAGGTTTGGGGCTGACCTGGGAGCTCCCCAAAGCAAACCCCACCCCCCTTACCCTTCACATCGTCACTCACCTGCGAGGCCCTGCGGGGACCCGACCGGGGTGGAGGGGTTGGAGGAGAAGTTATTGCTAGAGTGGTCAGGGGAGTAAATCTGCAGGGACAGAAGGGGGAAGGTCAGCAGTGCCACCCTGAGCTAGCTGTCCCCTCCCAGTGGCACCCACCACCTGCCGGGACCTCCCTTCCCAAACCCACAGCCAGCACAAAGACCAATTCCCCCCAGTTCCCCCCAGTTCCCCCATTAACCCGGGAGTCTCTCTCTATCCCCACTGTCACCACCCTGAGTGCAGCCTCTGCTCTTTGGGACCCCTCTCAGGAGGAAGCAGGAGCCCTCAGGAATTGTTGCAGGGTGCACTGTCAGCACCCCTCTGCCACCGTGCAAGGATCACTGAATGGGACAGAGGCAACTCTCTACTAACCCAGTGAGACCAGTGTCCTCCAGTGTGAACCAGCACACACAGGGCAAGGACTACTGGGACCTGCCAGTCCTGCCACAAGCTCTGTGCAGGGTGGTCTTGGCAGAGCAGCACCAGGCTGGGAGGGCACAGAGCAGGAAATGGGGCTGCAGGGCCGCTATAACCTGCAGTGCCTCAGTTTCCCCATCCACCAGAAGGTGCCAGGACTGAGATGACAGCACATGGAAAGGGGAAAACCCTCCCTCAGAGGCTGCTGTGGATTTGGGTGCATTCACCAAATGTGCCCATGTTCCCTGCTGGGTAGAGGTCCCTGCAGCAGCTCTTACCGAGGCCAGAGCCTTCCCAAGCGCGTCTCCGGAGCTCCCGGCTGTGGTTCCTCTGTTACCTGCCCAGAGAGACACGGATGCCACTGCCAAGGCCCCACACCCCAGCAGGACACAGTACCCTACAAGACCTTCTTTGGGGACACATGCTCTGGGGTGGACATTTTCTGCTTTTAGTGCTTTGCTTGAAAATTAGATGTTTGTCCAGCTCAGAGCAGCTCGGATATGGGGCACCTTCCCCTGGAAGCCACCAAGGGGCTGCAGGGACATCTCTCCAAGCTCTGGGCTGGAGGTGTAGTGCTGCCAACAGCAATCAGACATCTCTGCTGCAGCACAGCCATTGCCATGGCACATCTCAAAGCCCAACAAAACCACCAAGCAGGCACTGGAAGATCTTTTCCAACCTTAATGATACTTTCATTCTATGAATCCCAAACTTGCTTCTCCATAGAAAAACAAGGGTTTTCTTCTACAAATCTATGTCAGGATCTTAATTTCCTGGGGAGCAGGAGCTCATTTCAGTAACAGGCTCAGCAGGGTCAGAGATTAAAGCACTTGGAGGTTAACGTGGTATCCAAACTCAGCAAAAACATTCCCATTCTGGATCTAGGGGAGCAGCTTCATACAGCTGTAAACCCATCCCACAACTCATAACAGATAACAGCAGAGCTGCTAGGCTTCTCCCAGACCCATCCCACGAGCTGTAAAGCCCCAGACCAGAACCCAGGTGCTCCAGCCAGAACCTCCCTGTGCCTCTTCCCTGGGCAGGGACTCCAGGCCCAGGTGACACACGAGGGACCAAAGGTGTCTGGGTGTGTTGGATGCCTCAGGCACCAGTCTGCACCAGCCTTGGCTGTCCAGGTGAGCCTGTGGCGGGCCGTGGAGCGAGGGGGTCCCTCTGTGACTGGCCATACCCATGATGGTGTCGGTGCCGCTGATCGGGGGGGTGTGACTGGACACTCCGTACGCCGTGGTGGCCGAGGAGAAGCCGGACACGGAGGGGAGCCCGCCGTTCACCTCTCCTGAATGCAGCTGGTAGTTCTGGCAGGGAGGGGAGCGGGGTGAGAGGGGCCCTGCAAAAACTGTGGGGCTCAGCAGCTGGGGCAGGACCCAGGTGGCTCGGGCCCACAGCCAGGGGAGAGGGTGGCAGGGAGGTGACACAGGCACGGGGACATGTTACCATGCGTTCGTGCTGGTGTAAACTGTTGAAGCCACTGGACTGCGGGAGCGGGGAGGAGGAGCTGCCCAGCATGGCACCGTAACTCGACTGGCTCATGGCACCCGGGGAGCTCCACAGGTCTGGTGAGTTATGGAGTCCATCTGCAAGGAACCCAGAGCTGAGTGGGGCAGGGACAGCAGCCCCCAGCCCCAGGGGGGAATAGGTCAGCCCTGGCTGAGGGACTGGGACTGTCCCCACCATGTTCTGCCTGTGCTGAGCATCACCCACTGAGCAAATCAGGACAAACTCTCTGGGACAGCTCCCGGAGCCCAGGAAGGGCTGGAGCTGTGCCAGGCCTTGGCATGGAGCTCAGGGAAAGGTTCTTCCCCCCGAGGGTGCTGGCACTGCCCAGGCTCCCCAGGGAATGGTCCCGGCCCCGAGGCTGCCAGAGCTGCAGGAGCGTTTGGACAGCGCTCTCAGGGCTGCTCAGGGTGGGGGTGTTGGGGGGTCTGGGGAGGGGCAGGGGCTGGATTTGATCCCTGAGGGTCCCTTCCCACTCAGGACATTGGATGATTTTGGGGCTGCACTGTCTCACACTCCTGCCCTGAGCTCCCTCCAGATGTGCAGCCCCTCTCATGGTCTATAATGGGCCTGGCTTGTGGATCACAGGGCTGGGAATAACTCACCTGTCATGTAAAAGGCTCCAGGATACACAGTGCTGGGAGGTTTTGAGGGAGTATATCCAGCTGGATCCCTGCTGTAGTCATCACCTGAGTTGGATGGATACACCTGTGGGGCAGGAAAGGGCTTGAGGAGAAGAGCTTGCTCAGTCCACGGCCCCACACCCTCACTGTGGCTGCCCCCAGCTCTGCACACCTTAAACTTCAAACCTCAAACTTCAGCAGTGTTTGACCACCTCTCCCACGGCAACAGAGCAGCAAGTGCTTCACTCAACTGACCTTTCAAGGCCTGGAGGGACAGGACACAGGGAATGGCTCCCACTGCCAGAGGGCAGGGATGGATGGGAGATTGGGCAGGAATTGTTCCCTGGCAGGGTGGGCAGGCCCTGGCACAGGGATCCCTGGCAGTGCCCAAGGCCAGGCTGGACAGGGCTTGGAGCAGCCTGGGACAGTGGGAGGTGTCCCTGACATGGCAGAGGTGGCACAGGATGGACTTGAGGTCCCTTCCAACCCAAACCATCTGATGAGTCCAGGAGCTTTGCTTTGATTCATCCCACAGCAGATCTGGGGGGGGAACTGGAGCAGCTCAGCCAAAGTCCTCAAAGGACACAGCCCTACATGGAGCAGAGCAGGGGACAGGGCACAGATGACAGAGCAGAGCACAGAGGGCACAGAGCACAGGGCACAGGGTTCCCTTCTGTTTGTTCTTGCCACCCTCCTTGGTCCCCAGAACTTGGCCAGCTCCAGCAGAAGTTTTGACTCTGCTCCAGTTCCGTTTTCCATGGTTATAAATTTTTCTGGGTAACCACAAAAGCCACCACTGCTGCAGTGACCCCACGCAGGGGGGACAGGCTGGGCAGTGGCAGCAGGCACCCGTGTGGCCTTGGGACCCCCCTGTGCCAACCCTGCCCTGTGCCAGGCTCCCGAGCACAGCCCCTGCTCAAAGCCCTCAGGAAAACCAGGCTGAGGGGAAACTGAGGCACGTGGGGCTGAGCAGCCCTCATAGCCATTGTCACAGGGGAGGGACAACCCTCAGACAGCCCTCACACAGCTCCTGGGTCAGATTTCTGCAGCACTGCTCAGCTCTGTGATTTAACAGCACATTCAGCAGAAGAAAAAGCTTTTCCTTCCCTTCTAAATTAACCAAACCCATCCTAGAAAGCCCTGACCGAAAATCAGCTTCTGCCAGGACAAAACCAGACTTTTCTTTTTTTAAGGCAGAAATTCAACACGCAAAGAAACCAAAATGGCATTCAAAGGAACTGAAATAGCACTCAGATGATGTGAGAACTTTTGTCACAGGTTATTTTCATCTCCTTTGATTCATTCTGAAACCGATAATCTTTTTTTTTTAATCCAGCTGAAAGCAGAGGTGGGGCAGGGCCAGGCTCTGCCTGGCACACACAGTTCTCTTTGGGAAGGAAACTTGCCTGAGTTTCTTTTTCCCCACAGCCAGCTACTCCCTTCCAGCCCTTGTCCTCATCAGCAAAAAGGGACAAAAGTGATGGTGGGGAATAAAAGACAATCAGGGAATCCTTAAGGTTGGACGACACCTTTAAGATCAAGTCCAACTACAAAAGCAGCAGCACCTCCATGTTCACCACCAACCCATGTCCTCAAGTGCCACATCCACATGTTTTTTGAACAATTCCGAGATGGTGGCTCCACCATGGCCCTGGACAGCCTGTGCCAGGCTTCCTTTTGTTTAAAAAAACCAACCCCAAAGCCCCCTAGAAATCCAACAAGGGTCAGTGGAGCTTGGAAGGGTCTGGAGCACCAAGAAGGGCTGAGGGAGCTGGGAAAGGGGCTCAGCCTGGAGAAAAGGAGGCTCAGGGGGGACCTTGTGGCTCTGCACAGCTCCTGACAGGAGGGGACAGCCAGGGGGGTCGGGCTCTGCTCCAGGGAACAGGGACAGGAGGAGAGGGAACGGCCTCAGGCTGGGCCAGGGGAGGTTTAGGTTGGATATTGGGATAATTTCTTCACTGGAAGTGTTGGGAAGCATTGGAACAGACTGCCCAGGGTTGGAGGGAGTCACCATCCCTGGAAGTGTCCAATCAATGTGTGAATGTGGCACTTGGGGACATGGGTCAGCAGTGGCCTTGGCAGTGCTGGGGAACAGTTGGACTCCGTGACCCGTAGAGGGCTTTTCCAACATAATGACTCTGACTTTGCAGAGAACTCGTAAAATAAAGACAAAAAAAGAGAGGGGGAAGGGCAAATCCTGACAGACACTGGCAGCTGCCCTTTGTCCCTTGCTCAAAAAAGAGAATTCCAGGCCCTGGTCCCCGTGATGCTGCTGAGTGCAGTGGGCAGAGGGAGCCACGCGTGGACTAGGGGGGTGGGGGAGGCACTGGAGAACGGGAATGCAGCAAATTGACTTTTGCTATAATTTGATTAAATAGCGGGAGCCGGGACAGGGAATGGAGTGCAGCACGTCTGAGAGCCCCGCGCCATCTGGCAGGGGCTGGCTCGGGGCCAGGCGCCCGGCAGCTGCACCAACAGCCGAGCCAGGAACCCACGGAGAAAACAACGGCGAGAAAATGGCAGGGACGGAGGGAGCAGGGCTGCAGAGCAGGGAGAGGTTCGCCTTGCTGTGTGCCCACGCTGCTCCACCACCCCTGGAACATCTCCTGCAGGATCCTGGGGGGTGGGTTTCAGCACACTCCTGGTCCTGACCCCTGCTAATTGTTCCTTTTGCTGTCCAGCACAGGGGAGGCTGTGAAAAGCCAATTGCATTTTTCTGTGCAGGGAGCCAGGAGCCCTGTGGGGCACCAGGGCCAGGCCCCCCTCCCCAGCCCCTGGCCCCGGGGACCTCCAGGTGAGGTCATTTCCTCCGATTAAAATTTGCCAGCGCTGCGAGAGCCTCTCAAAAAGCCCCAGCGCTGGGATTCGCAGAGCTTTGTGGTCTGGGGTTGTTTCTCCCTCCCTGTTTTTCTTGCTTAAATGCAGGAGCTGGGGTGGGACTTTGGGCAGACTGAGGCTAAACAGAGCAGTGACCAGACTGGGAATGCACAGCCTGAAACAGCTCCCAGGCACTGAACTCACTGTGGCAACAAAATCCTGCAGGAACCAACTTGCACAAAATCCCTGCCCAGGTTCCTCTGGCACCGCAGCCAATGTGGGGCCACATCCAGCCCTGGATTCTGTGCCCAGACACAGCAGCCCGTGGCCAGGAGCTGCAGGGAGGCTCCAAGGGGCTCCATGCCCTGAGGGCAGCCCCAACCCAGCACCTACTGCATAGAATCATGGAATGGTTTGGGTTGGAAGGGACCCCAAAGCCCATCTCATGCCACCCCTGCCATGGCAGAGACACCTTCCACTGTCCCAGGCTGCTCCAAGCCCTGTCCAGCCTGGCCTTGGGCACTGCCAGGGATCCAGGGTGGGCACCCTGTGCCAGGGCCTGCCCACCCTGCCAGGGAACAATTCCTTCCCAATATCCCATCCATCCCTGCCCTTTGGATCTTGGAGCCCCTTTAGGCTCTGTAAGGGATTTTGAGCTCTCCCTGGAGCTTCTCCTCTCCAGGGGAGCACCCCCAGCTCTCCCAGCCTGGCTCCAGAGGAGAGGGGCTCCAGCCCTGGAAGCAGCTCTGTGACTTCTTGGGACAGAAGCACTGAGCCCAAAGGCCCTGGGCTCCCAGCACAGATTCCCCTGTGCCAGTCCCTGCCTGGCATTGCTGCTCACAGCCCTGAACCCCCTCACGCTGCCCTGGCATCACTCCCTGCTCACCCACCCACCCTCAGCTCCTGCAGCCGCTGACCTAGGCGAGTTTTCAAAGCGGCTCGGGAATTACAGATTAAAGCACTTCATTTTAATAAGATGCTGATTAACCTATTTATTTTGCACGGGGTCCAGCGATAACACAGGGCGGGCTCCTGCATGGGCGAGTCAGACAAGAAAGAGCCTTTGATCCGCTGCCTTTGAGGCCACTCCTGCTTCACACTTCTCCTGCCGCCTAGGCACAGATCTGTCTCCCCAGGTGTGGAAGTTCAAAAACAAACCAGGAAGCTGGAGCTCCCAGCACAGGGAGGGTGAGGAAAAGAGGCAGAACCAGCCTGTGCTCTGAAAACTGGAGCTTTGGCATCAAGGGGCAGCTGAGGCAACAGCCAGGGGAGAGATGGAGATTTAGGCTGGATGCTGGGGAAAAATTCCTTCCTGGCACAAACTGTGGCTGCCCCTGGATCCCTGGAAGTGTCCAAGGCCAGGCTGGATGGTGCTTTGAACGTCCTGGGATGGTGGAGGGTGGCCCTGACCATGGCAGAGGTGGCACTGGATGAACTTCAATGTCCCTTCCAGCCCAAACCATTCCCAATCCTATGAAAGGCTGGAGTGCAGGTGTCACTCAGACACAGGGAAGGGGCTGAGCTGTGGCAAATGCCAAGCAGCTCTTCCTGTGGGAATCAGGGCCCTCCAAGGCTCTGCCAGCAGGACAGGCCAAGCCCCAGCACTTTGAAATTCGAGGCCAATAAAGGCCATTTGTTGGGGCGATGTTTTCCCCACATGTCGACTGGGGTTTAAAGCTCCAAATTTCACACAGAAACCCGAGGCAGCGACACAGATTGTGACTCAAGCAGGTTTTCCCTGTCAAAACACAGACTCCTGGAACTGGTTTCTGCTTCATGTGGATTCACGTGGACCCTCCCAACACCCCCAGGTCTGTGAGCCGAATCTCAGTGCCCTCCTCTCCCTCTAGCCTCTAAAACCAGCAGCTCGGGGTCCAATCCCAAAGGCAGAGGTGTGGTGGAGGTTACAGCAGTCAGGGAATGTCACAGCACAGGGATGGGGGTGTTCCCTGGGCAATGGGGCAGTGTCACACCAGTTCTGGTAAAGAGTGAGGGCAGGTCTCCAGCACAGCCCCGGTCTGGGGACAGAGCCGGACCCCTGCAAGCACACAAACATTCCAGCCAGGAATGCAGCCCTGGCCTCCAGACAGCTCCCGTGCTCCTGCAGGAACCCTGCAGCCCGCTCCAATTAGCTTTCCTGGAGATCCCATTACTTGCAGCCACAAAGACATTGTTCAGTTTGCTCCCTGAACAGCCGCGGGAGCAGGGATGGCGTATTCCTGCAGGCTGCTCAGCTTTCCTATAAAGCAGCACACACCTGGAGCGGGCTCAGCTGCCGCCCCAGCGCAAGTGCGAAACCCGAGCCGCGGTGTCGCCTTCCACCCCTCCGGACACAGCGGCAAACACGGCACAGGAGCCCCCATCGGAGCTCCCATCGCCTCCCTTCTCCCGCACGGGAATTCCCTTCCCCAGCCCGCTGAAATGTCCTCACTGCCGGCAGCTTTCGTTTGGGAGAAATCCTGTAAAGTTTGCACATTTTTAGGTTGGCACCCCAGTGTCGGCCTTTCCATGGGAAGGAGAACTCATTTCCCAGGGTCTGGCTGTCAGCTTAGAGGTGGTGTTTGGGGTCCTAGCTGCTGGCAGAAATCCTGCAAGTTTGCAGATGTTGGCCACAGCACCCCACTGTCGGCCAGTGTGGGGCTGCAGGTGCCCGGCGGTGCTCCCAGGGCACGGGAAAAGGGGAACACTGCTGCCACTTACCGAGGAGGGGAGTCCAGGAGGCACCTTCCGAACCTTTTTGGGCTGTCCATCTGCGTCAGAGAAGAGAGATCTGAGTTTTCAAGGGGTTAGAGGGAAGGGAAATGAGCTGCAGCAAAAGTCTCTGGGCTTGGAAACTACAGGTACAGACAGGGCTGAGATCCCAAATGTTCCTTGGCTAAGGAAGCAGCAACAATGAAAATGTCTGAGGATGAGTCTCTCTGAATCTTACCTGCTCCCTTTGGGGGCAGGTTTCACACCCATACAGAGATCAGAGGACAGGAAGGGCTTGTTGAGAGAGACTGAGCCCATAAATATAGAAACATTTAATGTTATAACCCTTCATTGGGGCTTTTTTTGGAAACATTTTTAACTTGAAGTGGGTTTGTGGAGAGAGGATGCAGAAAGGGAACACATGCAGGGCTGGGCTACATTTTCATTTGCTTCCTACACAGGGATAGACTTGGGAAAGCTTTACTGCTGCAGGAGGCAGGGATGTGCTTCCCAGGGACAGACTCCAGCCCCTCCCTCCAGTTCCAGCTCTGGAGGGGGACTCAGTGTCCTGGGGGAAGGGGACAGTTCAGGGAGGTGGTGGGGAAACATTCAGAGGTGGCTCCAGGGGAAGCACTGGCTAAATTAAAAGAAAAATTCTATTTTTCATAATTATTATTTTTATAGCAATTTTATATTATTATTTTTATTATTTTCATAATTAAGGAAAGCCCTGGCTGGGGGGTGCAGTGTGCTGACACAGCAACCTGCCAAGCCATCCCTCCATCTGCTGGGATGCACCTCCAGAGCAGAAGTTTATCCCACAGAATGCTAGAGAATCATTTTCCAGGCTGAAGTGGCAGCACCAGAGTAGGTGCCTTTTTCTGAAAAGCACTGAAAAAAATGCACCCATCACTGGGTCACTTCTGGTTTCACTCACTGGGGAAAGCCTGAAATAGCAGCAGGCAAGTGGCTCTGGAGGGTGCAGGGGAACTGTGATGAGAAACGCAAGTTCTGGGGAACTGGAGCTTGTGCTCCCTCTGAAGTTAAACTCACACCTGACCCCACCTTTGGGAGAAGCTTATTCCCAGGTCCATCCAGACATGGGCAAGCCCTGCTTGGGAACAGTGGGGCGGGCAGGGGGAGCTCCTGGAGCAAACATTCCCGAGTCCCAGGCACAGCTCCAGCACCTCCTGCTGCCTCCTGCCAGCCCTGCCTGCTGCAGCTCCAGGGGGCTGCCAGCCACAGGAACAGCCCAGGCTTTGCCAGGAAGGACGAGTGATGTGCAGCGTGGCTGGAGGTGTTTTTACAAGAACCTCAAGCAATTTGCTGCTTTCAGCTAATCTGGCATTTTCCAGAAAGAGGGAAACCTGATTCTGAGCACCCCTTTTTTGAGGTTAGATCTCTCTCTATATATATATGAAAGAGATATTTATATGCATTCCCTCCCCAAAAAAGAGGAAATGCCAAACTCATGCCAGGGCAGACATGTCAACATCAGTCCCTCATTCCCAGCATCAATGTCCTCATTCCCAAAGGAAGATCTGATGAGGGCACCCGGGGGACACGCAGTCACTCACCTATGCTGCTCTCAGCACCTCTCCTGCGAGGATTGTTGGGGTAAGAAAAATACTGAGACCCCCCTTTGCCCCCCGTGGGGGAAAGAGTGCTCGGGCTGGCGATTCCCATCTCGCTGGGCAGGAAACCAGGCTGCAAACAAGGAGAGAGAAAAGCCCTTCCATGGAATTACACTGCAAAACGACTCGCTGGGAGAGAACAGAGCTGCTTTGAGCCACCTTCACACCAATTCAGCTGAGGGGAAAAATAAACACGAGTCAAGGGGCCAGGAGGGAAAGCAAATCCGTAAATATGGGGGTGGAGGTAGGGGAATAGGTGTGGAGGAACAAAAGAGGCTTTCAGCTTGTGCTTTCCTGCTGGACCCCAGCAAGGAACCACTGCAAACCAGGGATGCAAACCAGCAGGTGCCATGGTGGGGGCTATCGTAGTCCCACAGTCACCTTGCAGGTGCCTTGGTAGGACCAGTGTGGTCCCATGCTCACCTCGATGCCCAGGAGGACAGCTTGAGCCCGATGTCACCAGCCCATCTTGTGGCCAGTGCCCTGGAACGGCTCTGCCACTGCTCAGGGTGGTTTTCTCCCGAGTTTTATCAGGGAAAAGCCAAACCCCTCTTTGTAAAGCCAGGAAACTCCTCCCTTTGTTTATCCCGGCTGACCTTGGGCACGCTGGGAAGCAGCAGAGCCAGAGCCCAGGGTGCTCCCTCCTGGGACGGAGCCTCTCCTCCAGCACTGCCCCTCTCACCTCGGGAGGAAGTTCAGAGTATTTACACAGGGCTGCCAAAGGGCCCTCAAGTCCCAAAAGCTCAGCTTTGACCCATCTTCCGAGGGCAACACATGGAAATAAAGGAAGATTTCAGGCTTTTGAGAAACTGGAAAGAAAAACCTTTGCTTTCAAACTCTGTCTCCTCCAGAAAGGGGTCAGGGAGGGAAAGAGGAGCTCGTGTGTTCACAGCTGGTGACATTCCTGCAATCTGTTCCACTGCTCAGGTTTCCTCTGCTCTGGACCCGCTCCGTGCATGGCCAAGGAAAGCACCCGGAGGGATCCCGGGAGCTGCTGCCCTGCTCCTCCTGCAGGCAGGAGACACACTGGGACTTGGAGGCAATGGCCAGAGAAAGGGGTTTTCTTCCCATTTCCTCTCCCTGGGGATGCCCCTGGAGATGGTTCAGGGTTAAACAAAGGGGAAATGCCCTGCCAGCTCCACCCTACCAGAGCAGGGCACTTTTGGCAAGAACTTGATCCCCATCCAGGGCATCTCCACCAGACAATTTTTCATCTTTTCAACAAACAAAACAAAAAGGCAACCCCCCTCACTCCCCCAAACTGGAGCCAGAAGCAACAACTGCTCTGGGGGCCACAGAGGCTCCACTGGCCTCCCCCAACCCCCCACAAGGGGGTTTTGTCTCCTCTCCACATCAAGTGGGATTTGCCACCCGATCCCCAGCCCTGTGCCCGCCTCTCCCGGGGCCTCTCCCGGCCATTTGCCCCCCCATTTGTGTTACCTTATATTCCCCCTCCTCCACGAAAGCCCAGCAAAACCATCACATCCAAAAGCAACACTTGGCACCAGGCCCACTTTTCTTTGAGCAGCTTCAGTGGTAAATGAAATCCACTCTGGCACAGCCAGCACAGCTGCTCCAGCAAAGGAAACATCCTCACTTCAGAGAGGAGGAAATTATGACAAATTTGTGTAAAATTAAAACATGTAATATGTGTGTGTGTACATGGATAAAATAAAAGCTGTCCGGCCAAAAGCTCCTCCCTTGGCTCCGGTGCTGGGACTGCTCCCCAGGGCCACGCTGGGCACTGAGGGGGCATTGGAGCCACACATCAAAGGGAGGTGCTCATTCCTTCCCAAAAAACTATTTCTGGATGCTGCTGGCAGCAGGGGAGGTTATCTCAGGGCTGCTCCACTGTGTGCCAGGCTCGGCTTGACGCCTGTGGTATTCCCCACAGGAAGCAAAGCTGTTGCCCCAGCAGAGCCCCGGGGTTCACATGGGGTGACCCAACAGGGCTGGGCTGTGTCTGCAAGAGGTGGCTCTGGTATGCTGGGTCCCTGCCAGGATTGTGGAGATCATGGAGTCCCAGAAGGATTTGGGTTGGGAGGGACCTCAAAGCCCACCCAGTGCCACCCCTGCCATGGCAGGGACACCTTCCACTGTCCCAGGCTGCTCCAAGCCCTGCCCAGCCTGGCCTTGGGCACTGCCAGGGATCCAGGGTGGGCACCCTGTGCCAGGGCCTGCCCACCCTCACAGGGAACAATTCCTGCCCAATCTCCCATCCAGCCCTGCCCTCTGGCAGTGGGAGCCATTCCCTGTGTCCTGTCCCTCCAGGCCTTGTCCCCAGTCCCTCTCCAGCTCTCCTGGAGCCCCTTCAGGCCCTGCCAGGGGCTCTGAGCTCTCCCTGGAGCTTCTCCTCCCCAGCTCTCCCAGCCTGGCTCCAGAGCAGAGAGGCTCCAGCAGCTCCACGTCCTGATGCTGCCCCAGGGCTGGACAGAGATCTCCTGCTGCAGGTCCTGCATCAACAGCCCCACCATAAAATCAAAGCTCCACCTGATAGTCACTCAAATGATGCTGCAGCAGCACAGGAACCACCTCAGAGACCCTCCCCAAACTGGGACACTGGCCAGGGAGCTGGGAGATACTGCTGCAGAGGGAGAGGGAAAGGCCAGGGCAGGCAGTGGAGGGGGAAGGAGCCTCCTGGAACGTTCCCCTGCCCACAGCCAGCCTGGCACAGGGAAAGGTGTTGCTTGGATCTGACTCCCTGGAACTCCCCAGCAAGGCAGCATGGCTGGGTCAGGGCTGCTCAAATACAAACCAGGAGTAAAAATAACTAAACGAGTGAGGCTGAAGAAGATTGGGAAAGAAGTGAGAAGCTTCTACAACCAACAATTTCTACCCTCTGACAACTCTTCTGAGCCAGCAGCACACCCCAACACTCCACAGTGGTTTTGGAGCAAAGCAGAGGCTTCCCAGGACCCCTGAATGGAGCTGAGATGTAAATCCAGGCTGGTTTTCATTACCAGACTCTCACTCTCAGGAGCCAGTAAATGAAGCAGAAAATCTCACTGCATTTTATCATTACCTGGTTTAGTCCTGGCATCCCTGTGTCTCTTCCAAACGTGGAGTATGAGGCTCTTTCACTGCTCTTCCCTGCAGAAGGAGAAAAGAAAAGACAAGGTTTGGGGTAAGAGGGAAATGTTTTTTTTTTTTTTTTTTTTGCCCCCAGGCACCTGGATCCTGCCAAGGGACAAATTCTGTTGCCATGAGGCAGGCTCACCCTGCCCTGCCATGAAGGGACAACCTGAAAAGCTTGTGCTGAAGCAGGAGCTGCTTGAGCAGGTCCAAAATCACTAAATGGGAGCTGCAGCAGCACAGGGAAGTGCTGGTGGCCATGGAAACTGGCAGTGCCAGCCTGAGCCAAAAGCTCCCTGCAGACACCGAGACCCGGCCAGCCCAAAACCTGCAGCTCCTCACAGCCAGCTGGGATCTGTGTGGGCACAGCCCTGTGCCAGCAGTGTCCCTGTGAAGCTACAGATTCCCAGAAGGATTTGGTTTGGAAAGGACCATAAAGCCCATCCAGTGCCACCCCTGCCATGGCAGGGACCTTCCATTATCCCAGGGTGCTCCAAGCCCTGTCCAGCCTGACCTTGGGCACTGCCAGGGATCCAGGGAACAATTCCTGCCCAATCTCCCATCCAGCCCTGCCCTCTGGCAGTGGGAGCCATTCCTCCTTGTCACAGCACTCAGCATCAATGAGGGCTTCTCTCACAACCACCTCACCACGCACACATGCAGCTGAAAATAAAGTTTTGAAGGGCCAAAAATAAAAAGGAGCCCAGATACCTGCTGGGATGTTCCCTCTCCAAAACATCCTGGCACTCTCCTGCCTCATGGTCCCTGCCCCAGCCAGCAGCACCCAGGGGTGCCAGGACAGCAAAGACACAAGGAAGGCAGGAAGGGAATGGTTCTGTGCTGTGTTGCAGCAGCTGGAGGCACAACAGTGTCCTTTGGGATTCTCTCCATCCCTCTAAAGCAAAACCTGACACTTCTAGTGGGGAACAGGCACTCCACCAGCCCCCACCCCCACACCCGTCCTGAAAAGGGGATCACAGATCACATCCTGCCTCTGGCTGGCTTAGTGAGCAAAATTGGGAGGGGCAGGATTTTGCCAATCTCCTTAGCCTAAAGCCAGCCCCGAGGCCACTGAGATGCAGGTTAATGCACTGGGGCAATGCTGGGGCTGGCAGGACCCTCCCCACACCACTGAGAGGTTTTGGGGAGCAGATGAAGAGGGGAGGGGAAGCAAAAGGCCTCAAACCATCCCCTCTGAAGCACAGGGCCCAGAAAATGCCAGAGTGGGTTGGGTTGAAAGGGATCTTAAAGCTCATCTCATTCCACCCCTGCCATGGCAGGGACACCTCCCACTGTCCCAGGCTGCTCCAAGCCCCATCCAGCCTGGCCTTGGACACTTCCAGGGATCCAGGGGCAGCCACAGCTGCTCTGGGCATCCTGTGACAGATGGGAAGAGAGAAGAGGCTGCTCATTTTGCACCCTTACCATGGAGGTCTTGTACTCAACCCAAAAACTTTAGAGTGGATTCTCCCACCACGACCCCCAGGCCCCAGACCCCCATTCCTGCAGCCTCCCCCTCTCCCTCCATCCAGTGACAGCCGGGCCTGGGTGCTGCTGCCATTTCCTTTCAGAGGCTTAAACGTTAAGTAAACAAAGGTCAAAATGTCAGAGGATGGATCTCCTAAATGACCTAATTTCTAAAAGAGCTTAAGAGCTCGATCCACTGCAGCACCAGCCACGGGCACAAAGGACACAGCAGGTTGTGGCATCAGGCAGGTTCTGATTACTCCTAAAGCAGAGGAACAGCAGGGTAATGCCAGGGGGGTGGGCTGGACAGCAGCAGCCAGGTCTCCCATCTGATAACACATTGCTGCTTCCATGTGTGACTGCAGTGGGGAATCATGGAATCACAGACTGGTTTGGGTCCAAGGGACCCTAAAGCTCACCCAGTTCCACCCCGGGTACCTTCACTGTGCCAGGGTGCTCCAAACCCCATCCAGCAGCCTCTGCCATTACCAGAGAACTTGAGCTGATCCAGGGGGCTCCTGGACATGTGTGGGAAGGTGAAGGGACACTGGGCAATCCCCAGCCATGTGAAGTTTAAAAGGGCAAGAGTCAGATCCTGCCCTGGGATGGGGCAGCCCTGGATGCAGGGACACACTGGGAATGAGAGGCTGGAGAGCAGCACCGTGGGAAGGGACCTGGGGGTCCTGGTCAGTGGCAAGTTGGATCTGAGTCACCGCTGGGTCCTGGCAGCCCAAAGGGCCGCCCTGTCCTGGGGGCAGCAGGCCAGGGAGGGATTGTCCCACTCTGCTCTGCCCTGGGGCAGCCTCAGCTCCAGTGCTGGGGGCACTTCGGGCACCACAAGGTCAGAAGGATCCAAAGCTGTTGGAGAGTGTCCCAAGGAGGGACACGGAGCTGGGGAAGGTCTGAGGAGCGGCTGAGGGCACTTGGCTGGTTCAGCTGGAGCACAGGAGATGAGGGGAGGCTCCTCAGGGGCTGCAGCTCCTCCCGAGGGGAGGCAGAGGGGCAGGGGCTGAGCTCTGCTCTGGGACAGCTCCTGGAGCCCAGCAAGGGCTGGAGCTGTGCCAGGCCTTGGCATGGAGCTCAGGGAAAGGTTCTTCCCCCCGAGGGTGCTGGCACTGCCCAGGCTCCCCAGGGAATGGTCCCGGCCCCGAGGCTGCCAGAGCTGCAGGAGCGTTTGGACAGCGCTCTCAGGGCTGCTCGGGGTGGGGCTGTTGGGGGGTCTGGGCAGGGACAGGGGCTGGGCTGATGATCCCTGAGGGTCCCTCCCAGCTCAGGATATTCTGGGATTCTATGAACCCAGTGCCAGCTCTGCACTGCTCCAAACCTTCTCTGGATGTCTCTCATTCTTCACTCAGCTGCAGCCTTGGGTCTGTGGGTGTCCCACGGGATGGGGGACATTAGGAAAGAGAGGGCAGCCCTGGCCAGCCCCAGCTCCTGCACCCTCCATCATCACATAACAAGGGAAAAAAACAGTAAAAAACTCAGCAGAAAAGATTTTACATTTAACCGTTTATGAAAAGAAGGCAGAAGAAAGAACGGGAAAGTTTTCTGCATTGGAATGTACCTAAACCTGCTGGAATTCCAAAGGTGCACAAACTGGGCAAGGAAAGGCTGACCTTGCCAGCAGAAGGAGCTGTTTCTGTGGGCATGCAGATGGCACAGGTGGCAAGCCCAGACCAACCCTGTCACCCCTTGGCTGCCACAGCCCAGGGCACCAACCAGGAAAGGTGGAAAAGCCCCAGGAAGGAGACAAGGACCAGGATGGAGACGAGTCTCAGTAACTTGGGAAAAACCCACCAGGAATTGTCCCAAACCCCATCTTGGTCCCAACAGAATTACTGAAATCCTGCAGATGGACATGGGAGGAAGAGGAGGAGACAGGGGGAATAAATCACTCAAAAAGGAAAGGGGTTTCCTTTGGAAAGAGGTGAAGCACAGCGGAGGCACCTCGAGTCAGTGCAGCCAGACACTGGCTGAGAGCATTCAGCATTTCCAGATCTTTCTGGCATCCCCCTCCTGCTTTTCCCCCTGCCAGCTCCTTCTTCTGCCCCTCATCTGCCTCCAGCCCTGCCTAAGGAGCCTTTCCCAGCCTCTCTGCACTCCCAGCATGTTCCCTCTTGCAGGATCTGGCTGTGTGGGGCTCTGGGAAGCCTCCCCCAGCCCTGCCTTCACCCAGGGCTTTTCCAGAAGAACCCCCCCCGCCATTTGTGCCACTCCTCCCAAGTGCACATCTGCTTCTGAGCTTGGAGATGAGGTAGAAAAATAGAAACTGCTCTTCCCAGAGGTTCTCACCCACTCTGGCAGTGTCAGGGATTGGCTTTGGCACCCTGGATCATGGCAGCACCTCACCTCCACTGGAGCAAACTGCTTTTACATAAACTCATGGGTTTGCCATTTCACAGACCACAGAATAGCCTGAGCTGGAAGGGATCCACAGGGATCACTGAAGTCCAACTCCTGGGTCTGCACTTGACAGCCCAAGAAAAAATATTTAAAATGCTGCCTACAAGTTTTTCCAGCACCCACTGGCAGAACCAGTGCCCCCACATCACCCCAGCCCCAGCACAGCTACCACCCACCATGCACCTCCCCCAGCCCCACGCTGCTAATTCCATTAGAATTCCATTAGAATTCTGGCCTGGGGGAAAAAGGGAGGCAAAACACAGCCAGGGATTAAAAACGAAGAAGAAAAAAAGAAGTTAAAAAAACAGGAGCAGCAACAACCCCCTGATTAAACCCATTGTCCAGGAAGACCCTGATCTACAGGCACTGACAATACCCACCCGATTAGGAACACTGCTCTGAAAGGCAGCTAATTACTAGAAATAATTACTAGAAAAAAATCTGTTATGGCTTATCAGTTTCCTCGCTGTTTAACCACCCCACTCCCCACCTGTCCCTGCTGAAGATGAATGGTAAATTGTGAAATTGGTGACTTAGAAAAGCCCTCCTCACCCTCCTCATCCTCTGGGATGAGCTGAGCTGGCGTGTCACTGTGTGGTGTCCTGGCACCGACCTGGGACAGCTCAGAACTCCCCAGGAGGTTCCCTGTCCTCCAGCAGCAGCACCAAACGCTCAAAGCTGGAAAACCTGGAGGAGGGAGCAATGGAGGGCTCCCCTCATCTCCTGTGCTCCAGCTGAACCAGCCAAGTGCCCTCAGCCGCTCCTCAGACCTTCCCCAGCTCCGTGTCCCTCCTTGGGACACTTCCTAATTTATTTTCTTATTCTTTTGACCAGTTTAGGTGGTTCCATCCAGTGCAACACAGCCCAGAGGTCCCTGCCCAGTCTGTCCTGCAGAAGCTCTGATTTTCCCCATCACCTGTGGAGCTGAAGCTGTGGCTGAGGGAAGTAATTGAAGATTCCCCCAACACTGTGCCTTTAGTGAGAACAGGAGTGGCATCACCCACAGCCCTGTGGCAGCCTGGATGAGGGGAGCATCTCCCCTGTGTCAGTGCAGCCCCTCTCAGCTCTGTGCTGAAGGCACCTCCTAAAGCCAAGCTCCTCGTGCCCCACGTTCATCCAAAGAACATGAATGACAGAAATCACTGATTTTCCTTTCAAACTGCTTTTGGATCAGGTGTGCACCCTGTGATCCACAAGGTCACCACGCCGGGACTGGCTGGACTGGGGTGAGGAGCAGTGACCGTCCCTCCCTGGGGCCACTGCAGGGAAGAACAGGGATTAAATCAGAGCTTTGTACTCCCCCAGCTCCACCCCAGAGCTGAGCAGCCCCTTCCTCACTGCCCCTGGGAGGGGACTCAGGCAGGGGAGGAGGGCTTGGGCTGGGGTGACACCAAAGGGCCCAACCAGGACAGGAACAAAGGGCAGGGACACAGCCTGCAGGGGTTTCAGGGATGTGCTGGCAATGTCTTGCTCCCCTCCAACTCAGACCTGCTTTCCTTCTCTCCTGGGGCAGATCCCTCCAGCCCTGCCTTTCCCACCGAGTTGCTGCTGGTGGAGTTTGTGACACCAGCTCCCAGCACAGAGCAGAAATCTGGATGGGCACATTCCACTGCTCCCTTACCCAAAGGGCCACTCTACCCTGCAGATTCCCAGTTTCTCTCCTCGCTCCCTGCTCCTGTCAGATCAGGAGGGTGCAGGAGGGTGAGGACAGGCTGCATCTGGGATCCCCCTCAGGATCTCCTGGGCCCCAAATTGCCACCAGCCTGCAGGGACAGGGGAAGGCTCCACCCTGGAAGGGATGTGGTCACTGCTCCAAAGCTCAGGCTGGCAGGAGCTCCTCAGCCCACCAAAGACTGGTCAGAGCACAGCCTCCTTTTCCATGTGGAAAATTGAAGAAAAAAAATCACCATTTGCTCAATTTCTCCAACAAGTGCTGCCTGCTGTAGTGTCAAGGTGCTCCCTGCCCCTAAAACCCTCCCTTGGAGGACAGGGGGCTGTAGCCTGGCCCTGGGACATGCACAGACTGCAGGGACACAGAATCCAAAGGATGGGGGTCCCAGGAGGAGCCATCACCACCCTGACTGCTCAGAGCACCAGCGCTGACTTTGGGGGGCCCTTTCAGCTCAGCCTCCCTCTCTACTGGCCCAACCCACCACTGCCAACAGAGAACATCCAGGCTGCTCCCAAAATGGTTCTTCCCACAGTTCCTGATCCTCCTTGAATAAATAGAGGTTGAGTAGTAAAGATATAAAAATTCTAATCTTGGAAAAGGGCTTAGATGTTTCACACACCTTTCATCAATCAACAGCCACAACATGTTCACCCTCATCTGCTCCCTCCACCTCCTCAGATTTTGAAATTCCCTGGTCCCACTCAACCACCTCATTAACATGAACTTCCCACCCTGAGGGGCACCTTGCTGGCAACCAGGGCCTGGCAGAGACAGAGGGACACATTTCCAAAACTCCACTTTCCCTCCCATTTTTCCTCTGCTTTTACAGAAGCATTATTTTATTTTCCTGACTGTCCTCTCATTTATCCATTTGAGTTTTGCCACTCTAAGTTTTCAGAAGCAGCTTGGAAAAGAGAAGGAGAAAATCCCACTCCTGCTCTTCCCCATGTCCTTACTTCCCAGCACATGAGCAAAGAGATTTACATGGGATATTGGGCAGGAATTGTTCCCTGGCAGGGTGGGCAGGCCCTGGCACAGGGTGCCCACCCTGGATCCCTGGCAGTGCCCAAGGCCAGGCTGGGCAGGGCTTGGAGCAGCCTGGGACAGTGGGAGGTGTCCCTGCCATGGCAGGGGTGGTACTGGATGGGCTTTGAGGTCTCTTCCCACCCAAAGCACTCCATAATTCTTTGATTCTACAATGAAAAGTCAGTTATGTATTTTGGAACCTGCTCCCAGAATCGATAATTTTTACTTTAACCACGTTCAATTGTAGAAACAAAAGGGAGCTGGAAATGCAAGGAACCCTTCTGCTCTGCCTGTTCCCTAATTCAGTGGTGGAGCTCCTGGTGCTGTCCTGACCACCCTGGGGAGATGCAGCCAGAGTGTGGCCACAGGGCCAGTGCTCCCCCTCGGCCCCAGAGCCAGGGACATCACCCAATCCTGGGGAGCAGTGGGGCTGCCAGGGAGCCCCGGCTTGGGGAGGCAGCCAAAGGCATCTTACCCACACACATCAAAGGACAAACCTCCGTATTCCTCCCCGGGCAGCTCCTTCTCAGCTGGAAACTCTCAAGGCTGCCTTGGCCCCAGGTGTGGGATGGGCTGGGATGGGTCCCCCCACGCACATCCCCCCCAAGCCCTGCTGAGCTGCATCAAGGCTCCCCTGTCCTACCCAAAACCTTCTCTGTGCTCCACTTACATCCTCCTGGGGCAGGGAGGGAGAAGGAAGATCCTCCCTTGCAGAGGGACAGAGGGAGCTGCTCGGAAAGGCTGCTCCCCCTGCACAGATCCCCAGGGGACACCCAAATGAGTTTCCCAAAGGGGAAAGGGGGAAGCAGAGCTTACAGTGAGCCCCAAGCCCTGACCCAGGCCAGGAGGGGCCAATGTGTAGCCAGCATGACCCTGCTCTGCTCTTCCCCTTTGCCACCACATCCACAGGGGGGATTTTGTGTTGGGGGGATTTTCTGCTTCAAACACGATTCCCTTTTCTTACTCCTCCCTTCCAACCACCAGCAAGCCCTGCCCTGGCCTCGCTCCTTCCCCATGTGCTGGAGTGTTTTAACCAGCCCTGCGTGGGCAAAGATGGGGAGGACTAACCCCAATTCCTGACCTAATGCCATTAGAGCTCTCTAAGCCCTCCAGGAGGGATATTTTCTGCTCTTAATCTCTCCTCCCACCCCTGAGCTGGGAGAGGTGACTGAGTGAATGGTCACACACACCTGGTCATGGGGGATCGCTGTCCCTGCGAGCTCCTCACGCTGCCTGCCTGGAGCTGGGGATGGAGGGGCCAGACAAGGCTGCTGGAGCCTGGCAGGATTCGGGAAGAGGCCCCTCCAAACCCCACTGCAGCAAAGGCAGCACCCCCAGCTCTCTGGGAAGTGACACAGCCACCAGCACATCACAGCCACACAGTGGGATCAGCTGGTGCCACCACCCCACTCAAGCAGGGCCATCCCAAGTCCTTAATAAATCCTTAACAATAAGCATTTCTCCCATCCTAATTCCCAGCTCCCAGGAGCACACTCAGCCATTCCTGGGGGGCATCGACCTGGAGCGGGCACCCCTGCCTCAGGGAAACATAACCACACACATAAAACAGCTGGCACAGCTGGAACCCTCTGGGTACCACCTCCCTGGACAACCTGGGAACACCTGGAGCAGGTCCAGCACAGGGAACAGCACTCCCCCAGCACTCCCCCTGTGCTGGGGACCTCCAGGCAGCTGCAGGCACTCACCCACGAGTCCAGCTCCCAGGAAGGGTGACGAGGAGATGCTGTTGTGGGATGGCAGCTCCCGGTGCTCGCCGTAGTGGGGGCCTTCGCCATAGCTCTGCTGGGACAACAGGGGACGGTCACACACAGCGTGGGGACAAAACACGAGGCTGCCGGGGCCCAGCCTCCCCCGGGAAGGGGCAAAGCCAAAGGCTCCTTGTGAAAAGGGCGTGGAAATGGTTTTATCCTCATGCCATGGAGAGCTGGGCAGTGCAGAGGCTGTGGCATTGGGAAGGAACCTGGCAGATGGGGATGTGGCAAGAGGGGACATGGAACCATGCTTTGTCACATGCTGGCAGCTCTTTGGCACCACCAGCTAAGAGCCAGGCAGCCCATCCCTGAACCAGGGGGGTGAAGGAGCAAGAAAAAGGCTGGGTAAATATAAATGTATATTTTTAGATATATTTATATAAATATATAAATTCTAAATATACAAGTGAGAGTTGACATCACAGCCCCAGCTCTGCTGCTGATGGGAGAGGAGGGAAAGTGCCATTGCAAAAACAAATCGCACAAACCCATTAAAACAAAAATTACACCATTTCCATGGAGTTTGTGGCATTTCTCTCTTCCCATTCTCAGGCCCCAGTCATGAGTGTTGCAGCAGCCTCAACTCCTTTCCTGCAAAACCCTTCCCAAGTTCTCCATCCCCACCAAGGGTGCCATGGCCAGACAATGTGGTGGATTGCAGGGATACCCTCCTCAGGTTCCCAAAGTCTTGTGGGATGGAAGCTTTGCCAGCAGATGAGATCCCTCAACCCACTCAGATCCCTCGACCCACCCATCTGTGTCTCCTCTGGGGACCTGTCCCACCCCCTGGGTCCCCTCTCCCCACACCAACACCGGGTGCAGGGAGGGAAATGCCTGAGCAGATCTGGGAGAGGGTTTTGGAGGAGAAACCTCAAGGCAGCAAAGCCCGGGGAGATGGGGATGGGGGAAACCCTAGAGTTCACAGAACCCATGTCCAAAATGGGGCAAGAAAAGCTGTTCTAGGGTTAGAGCCAAGGCTCTGAAAGGCCTGGGAAAGACCCCGTTTGTTTTGGTTGGAGCTTGGTGTTTGTGCTTTGTCCTTACCCTTCCTTGGTCAAACGTGGAGCTGTTTTGATCTGCCGTTCCCCAGGAACCTGATCCCGGCCTTTCATCCAAGCCTACCGAAAAACAGGAAGAACAAAGGTTACTCTTTGCTTTATCAGCAAAGCCTCAAAGGTGTTCTCGTAAAATTAACTCTTCCTTCTACAAACAAAACAATATTTTCATTAATAAACCACTTCCACTTGGCATGACCGAGCCTCCCCTCTGCCTCCTCACCTTCCCATTCCCACTGGGAGTCATTCCACAAACTTCAAAGCAAATCCTACCACAGCCTGGAAATGGTTCAAAACATGGGACAGTGGGAAGAGGAGAAACAAGTATTTTAACTCCTTTATTCCAGAGAGCACCCACGAATCTCCTTCCCCCGGAGAGTGGCAGTGAAAGGGACTGAACTGTAAATCAAAACCACATTGCATCCATCTGGATGCTCCAGCAGGACTTGAATTTTGCCCATGGTGGTGCAAGATCATGGGCCACACTCTATTCAAATTGGGCAGAGTGAAAGAGTGCCCAGAGGTGAAATCCTCAGGTGGGAGTTGCTGGGGGTCCAACATTACAGAGTCACCTGTTCAGGGGTGCTCTTTCAGCCCCCCAAGGGTCCCCTGAGGAAGTGGGGCCATCAGTGCACACCCCCAGCATTCTCAGCTTTAGCCCTCCCAAGAATATCCTCAGCAAAAAGGGATCCAGCCCAAGGAGCAGAGGAGCAGGCAGAAGGTTTTGCAATGTTTCTGCACAGGCTGAGGTGGGAGATCGGCTCCTTTCATCCCCTGCCAAGTCCACACGGGCGGCACCTCCTGGGCTGCACCCAGGGGAGCCGGAGAACCATGGGATGGTTTGGGCTGGAAGGGACTCAGCTCATCCCACCCCTGCCATGGCAGGGACACCTTCCAGGGACTATCCCAGGCTGCTCCAAGCCCTGTCCAGCCTGGCCTTGGGCACTGCCAGGGATCCAGGGTGGGCACCCTGTGCCAGGGCCTGCCCACCCTGCCAGGAACAATTCCTGCCCAATCTCCCATCCAGCCCTGCCCTCTGGCAGTGGGAGCCATTCCCTGTGTCCTGTCCCTCCAGGCCTTGTCCCCAGTCCCTCTCCAGCTCTCCTGGAGCCCCTTCAGTGAGCTGGGAATGTCCACCATGACAGAAAAACCCACATTTCCAGCTGATACCACGACCACACAGAAGGAACCTTCCCTGGAAAACAGCCCCGACCTGACTCAGCTGCAGGATCTCACTGTGCTGCTCCATCTCCTGCTCCAGTGGGTGACAGTGGGGGCTGGGGAGCAGCACTTGGTGTTCTAAGGGGGCAAATCCAGGATCTGAGAGGGGCTGGGCAGGGTGGGGGCATCCATCATCTTCTGAGGTGCTGCACAAACCCTGTGACTCTGCTGGGCTGGACAGAAGAAATCGCAGAGCTGCAGAAGGCTGACAGTGAGGGTGGCAGCAGCCACGGACACTTTCCAACCCATGCACAGCTCCTGTCCCCACCAGGGGTCACGGCCACACTGGGGTGACACCAGACTCTCCCAGCAGCATCACCCTGTGGCAGCACCAGGGTCCCGTGGCTCTCTGGGGACTCATCCTGTGCTGGTTCTTCCAATGGGGATGGCACCACCAGGTGCCTCAGGATGCCCTTTTGGGAGCAGGGAGCTGAGTGGCAGCAAGGACATGGGGGCAGGGGGTCAGGGCTCACTCCCACTTTGCTTGGCAAAGCTGATTATTATGGCAAACATGCCTCAGATTTGTCTCCTCCGCTCCCCTCACTGTTCATTTAACCAGAAACTTCTTTCAAATTACATCCTTCTATTTCTGTGCCTTTGTGTTAATCATTTCCCCGGAGAATTGGTGTTTAATTGCTGTCTAATTTGCATAATTATGCATATTAATCTCCACACCTAATGAATATTCATAATTCTCATTTAGATTTTGTTTTCTAATCAAAAATTTCCAATGTGATTACTGTGCAGAGCAGGGATAAGCCTCTAATAATACCTTGGATACTAGGGAGAATTACTGCCAATTCTCCCACCTCCTACTTCCTAGAATAAACTTTTGCTTTGCTAATGTGTTTTTCCAAAGCAATTCATCTGCAATCCCTGCAAACCCTGGCGAGGCAGGAGGCAGAAACGCTCCTTTGAGTCATTTTGCTGTCATGGGTGGTTTTAAAGCTCCCCAAGGGTTGGGGAGAAGATGTGAGCAGGATCAGCAGCCTTGGACGTGGTTGGAAAAGCGATCCCTTCAGGCTGGAAGGACAGGGACTGCAGCACCACAGTCCCCATGAGGAACCCTAGAGGCAGAGGGGAAGCCAAGGCCACCCTCACACCCATTCCTGCCCCACACAGGATGGGCTTTGGGGGCCTGGGTCACCCTGGATCACCCTGGGTCACCCTGGATCACCCTGACCTCTCCCAGAGCCCTCGGTCCTGCCACCACCCCACCAACAGCACAGCAGCATTCCCAGGCCAGAACATGCCTGGAGAGAATGATCAGGGGCCTCTGGAGGGAGATGGGGTGCCTGGAAGACCAGGGAAATTTTCCTTGGTTGTTGAGTCTTCCTCCCTTGAATGTCCCTTCAGATATTCAAGAACCTTCAGATATTCCCTTGAGTGATGCTAAAACAGTCTGGACACAATCCTGTGCCCTGTGACATTGTCCCAATGAGCCCCTGTGGTCCTTCCAACCTCCCCCATTCTGGGATTGTGTGCCAAAATTCCTGAAAAATAAAAGTAAACCCTTGTCACTCTCGCCAAGGAAGGAAGGAGAGGAGACAGTGAGTGGCACAGGGGGCAAAGGCTGGGTTTTTTTTTTCAGGAAGAAAAAAGGAGGGGAAGCCCTGGCACAGGGTGCCCAGAGCAGCTGTGGCTGCCCCATGATCCCTGGAAATGCCCAAGACCAGGCTGGACAGGGCTTGGAGCAGCCTGGGACAGTGGGAGCTGTCCCTGCCATGGCAGGGGTGGCACTGGGTGGGATTTAAGGTCCCTCCCAACCAAACTGGTCTGGGATTCTGGGATTCAATAACTCTCAAAGAAACCCAAAATGTTTCTTGTACCCTCCAGATAGTTCCAATGGCTGCCAAGGTGAAGTGAGGTTCCACTCTCCCACCAAAGCAGCAAAGGGCTTCCCAAGGTTCTGGAAGCACCTCTGAAGGTGTCCATGCCAGCTCTGTCTGATGTCTCCTGGAAAATAAAGTCTTGCACCTTCCCCAGACTGCAGCAAAGTGCCAGCAAAAAATCTCCCTATTTTCAGCACCTGCAGGTGTTTTAGGAATTCAGGGATTTCTGGGATGAAGCCAGGAAAAAGCAGACTGCCCTCTTTCAACGTCTGGCATCTGTCCTACATTCCCTGCCAGCCCACTCTTCCCTCCCCTTCGTATTCCTCAGGATCTCCAATTTGGCAGCAAATGCCCTTGGCCAGCCCTGCAAAATCCCAGTGTTTGGCCATGGGCAGGTGTGCCTGAAGAACTCAGAGCTCCCCTCAGCAGGATTTGCTCCATTCAGCACAAAGCCCCAGGGCACGGTGGCACCCCAAACACAGTCCCACGTCCTGGCTCTGGGAGCACGGAGCACGAGTGCAGGCAGAGGAAGGGGAAGGGGGAGAAGAGAGGGAGATTGGGGTGGGAAGGACTCTGCTCAGCAGCCCCAGGGCTCATCCAAGGGCACCCCAGCAGCTGTAGAGGTGACCCAGGTGCCCAGGAAGGGTCAGAAGCACCTCGGGGCACCTGGCAACGTGTTTCCTGCCTCCAGTCATCACCCAGGAGCTGCCCCAGGTGAGATGGAGATCCCCTGAGAATCTTCTGGACACCAACTGCTCCATAATTATGGACAGATCTGCTGCCTTAAAACACCCACAGGGCTGTAAAAAACCCATAAATCCAAGTCACCAAAGAGAGATCATGTTCAAAGGGCCACAGAGATGCTGGAGCCCCTCTGCTCTGGAGCCAGGCTGGGAGAGCTGGGGGTGCTCCCCTGGAGAGGAGAAGCTCCAGGGAGAGCTCAGAGCCCCTGGCAGGGCCTGAAGGGGCTCCAGGAGAGCTGGAGAGGGACTGGGGACAAGGCCTGGAGGGACAGGACACAGGGAATGGCTCCCACTGCCAGAGGGCAGGGCTGGATGGGAGATTGGGCAGGAATTGTTCCCTGGCAGGGTGGGCAGGCCCTGGCACAGGGTGCCCAGAGCAGCTGTGGCTGCCCCTGGATCCCTGGCAGTGCCCAAGGCCAGGCTGGGCAGGGCTTGGAGCAGCCTGGGACAGTGGGAGGTGTCCCTGCCATGGCAGGGGTGGCACTGGATGGGCTTTAGGGTCTTTCCCAACCCAAACCTTTCTAGGATTTTGTTCTTCTGTGCTGAAAACTCCCATGGCACTGAGCTGAATTCTGTCTGCACGAGCGAGCTCCATCCTGGCAGGGCTTGGCTTTGCCACCCTCCCAGTGCTCTCCCACCCTGAGGTGTGTGAGTTTTGGAGACACCCACGTGCCCATGTTGCTGGCAGGAGCCAGGCTGATTTTAAAATAACCCCACTTCCCAACTACCCAAGTAAAGGCACACTTTCCAATTGAGAAACGGCAAAAATAGGAGCTACCTCCTCTCGCCATTAATACAGTTATTAAACTGAGTACAGATTAATTGTGCATTTTAATAACCCTGAGCATGAATATTCATAACACATTTCTTGCTCATGTTCTAATTAAAACATACTAATAGAATAAGATGTAGCTGTCAGACACTCTTTTTTTTTTCTCACGGTTTTCCTGCCACAGCCAAGAAGAGCTGATAGACAAGAGCTGTCCTAAGCTTCAGCAGGGATAAAAATAATTTAACCACATTTAGGCTCAGAAAAACTACCTTAGTACAGCAATGAACCACAGTAAAGACTATGGACAAGTGTCCAGTGGTACAGCATTGACAGCTGCTCCCACCCAGCAGGAATTGATCTACTTTGGACACACGAGTCCAACAAGGAAACCCATGAGAGAGACAGGAAAGGGGAACTGTTTTACTTAAAGGAGGACAGATTTACTTCAGATACTGGGAGGAAATTCTCCCCTGGGAGGGTGGGCAGGCCCTGGCA